TTGTTTTATTCCACTACGTTGACGGTTACTCCTTTGATTGCTTTATTCCACTACATTGACAGTTACTTCCTTGATTATTGCATTCGAGATTATCAACTCCACTTTTTGTCGATTCCTTCAAGCTATTGATTCATCAAGTTATCGATAATTCTGTCCATAAATTATCAAACTCTATTCTCATTGACTAGTCTATCATATGTTGATAATAACCAAAATTGGTCATTTTTTAGTGCAAACAAATGTCCCATTTAAAAGAATTGAATGATTCATCGATCATTCGATTCTTTTAAATTAGATCATTTAAGAGTCATCATGTTCCCCCTTGTCATCGGCCAATTTGATTTTTTTCTTGCAAAATATTATCTTGGTCAGATTCATCATATGGCTTATATCTTTTCCACGAAAGGCACGTTTTGTGTAAAGTCTTCATGTGGCCCTCTATCTATGTCCTTAAGTAATTGTTCATACATAGATACTCTCGTTACCAATTAAAATAAATTGGCAAAATTTAGGCCTTCTAATTTTTCTTTAAGATTGAATTTTAATTCACTGAAAGCCAAATTTGTGAAATCTTTCTATGAGAGTGAAGTATGACATCTATTTCCAACCTTGTTGAATTGAGCAACTAACTAATCGGCTAACTCATTATTGTATTGATAGATTCTAACCAAATCAGAATGGAGACGTTATCGTTTTATACAATTGAGAATGAAATTGTCTTCCATCTTAGCCCAAGTATGGATTGAATTAGAAGATAAATTCATATACCAAGTAAATGCAGTTTTTGATAAAGACATAGGGAACAACGTAAGTATCAGGAATTCATTTGTTCCTGCCTTTCACATTAGGCAATATTGTTCGATAATCGACTGGTTATCTTCGCCAGCGAAAAGAGCGAAGTCAGGAGTTTTGAATTTTCTTGGGTAAGGTGTAGTATCAACCCAATTAGGATGCGACTTCCTATATATTGGCCTGATCGTTCCTCCGTCGACACCTAATTGTTGTAATACGAGTTTACCACTTGATTAGGATTTGCAAGTTGACATCGTTCCCGCCCCCTAGGTTCATGGTAGATAGGTTGATAGACTTGACCTTCTTGCCCCTTAGGTTTAGGGTTAATAGGATTTTCAAGCCTTTGTAAAATCCTTACTAGTGGTGGGATCACTTGGCCTAAATTGTTTCCATCGTTCAATTGACTAAGAGTTGGAGGAGCATACTCGGAAATCGCCATATTGAGTTGAATCGGTATGAATTGATTCGATGTATTGGGCCTGGAGATGACATCGTTGATTGCATTGACGACCATTGGCCTGATCACATTTGAGACGTGTCTCACTATGTGATTTGCCATCTTATTTCATTGTTCCTTGAGTAACCTCTTCATGGTAGCCAATAATACATGACTTAGCTCCAACTGTCTTCTTTGCTCATCGATGAGTTGTCTTAAGATGTCGACATCTCCACCTTGTTCTTGCTCTGCCATTGGTTGTGCAGTCGATGACTCAAAATGTCTTGTCCTGTCATTATGAGCTGCGATGACAGATTGTTACCGCTAGCATCATTAGGTCAAGTTGATCCATTGTTCTCACCATCGTGTCTCCTTATATCAACCACATTAATCTCATCGAGTGTATCAAAAAGATGTTTCACTGGAATTGATCCGACGACGAAATATGTTTCACTGAAATTGTTCTTTGGTTTTTAATTAGAGAAGACAAGGTCTTATTGCGACTTCGGATAGGAAATATCACAAGTAAATAAGAAATCCACAACTTTACTTCAGATAGAACTGTATAAACACAAACCGTGCCGAAATTAAATTGACGACAAAGCTTGGAAAATATAGCCATTACAACAGAACCATATGTAAATAAACCGTACTGGAATTTAATCAACGACAAAACTTGAGAAAGCAAAGATGCTAAGCCAGAATTTGACCGACGATGTAACACTCATGATAGAGATACACGCCGTAATGTAATCGACGATGCGAGTTTAGAAACTAAAAGTAGAGTGCAAGAAAGTAAAGATAATTGAAGGATTGCATTTTTATTTGTTTGTACAGGGATTCTCCGACGAGTATGATGTGGCTATTCAAAGCCTACAATCAACGGTTATCAATTGAGGTTACATATAGATGTTACAAACAGATGTTACAAATGATTACATCGACGGTTACGTTGTCTCCACTACCTTTATGGTTTCTTCGACTACACTATCTTGACGGTTGCTTTATTCTACCACGTTGACGATTACTTCCTTGACCGTTGCATCCGAAATTGTTGACTCCATTTTTTATCGATTCCTTCACGCTCTAGATTCGTCAAGTTGTGGTAATTCTGTTCATAAATGACCAAACTTTGTTTTTATCGACCAAGTCTATCACATGTCGATAATAACCAAAATTGATCATTCTTTTGGTGCAAACAGAGTGTCTAAATATGCATCTTTAGAAAGTTTCTCTAAGTGGCTGGTAGGTAGGTAAGGTTTCGGAAGTTACTAAGAGGAAGGAGAAATGAGAAACGAAATTCTTTTGAACATGAGCAGGGATGCCAAATGGCACTCAATCTAGTATATATTTAAAGTACGACATGGAAGCCAATATAGCTCAAGGACTGTTGTTAGTCAAGACTAGACAACAAACATTTGAACTTATTCGTAGTTCTTGTTTTTACGTCGACTTGGAGACTAACAAGTGGACCTAGCTTAAGAGCTTAGAGAACCTATCTCTTTTCATGGGTTTTAACTCGTCTTTTCCTACGGCTAGTGTCAAACACCTAAGTTGGACCTCAAGCCAAATCTCAACCAAGCATATGGTGGATGTAAAGACATGAAAATATACCCTCCAATGCAAGATGGTCGTTTCTTAAAATGAAATCTTTTTAATGTAGCTACAAGTGTGTAGTTGTCATGTGCCACCATTGATCTACAGACATCCATTTAGGCCAACTTGAGAAAAGTTGTTCTAGAATTTCACATGAAATTGTCAAATCATTAGAAGTAGACCTTTGTTGTAGACAATGTCCTGATACGCACGTGTTTCCTTGCTATGGGGATGAGTTAATATTGCACACAAGTTCTATCAATGAGCGAAAAAAAGTTGAGAGCGCATGAACGGATGGGCGAACATTTCAGCCAACGTGAACGCGAGGGAGCATGCAAAAAATTGTTAGGTTGATGAAAGATGTGTGTAAAGCAGTACCCAAGCTGTTATAACTCACAATGACTAAGGCCCCCTCTATTTCCAAAAGCTCTCAAATGAATTATTTCCAATAAGACCTTACGACGTGGAAATCTAGGTTTAGTGGAAATCAACGGTTGGTTAATTTTCTCTGGAAGGACGATCATCTTCTTCTTCTAGAGAGGCTGGACACAGCTTATACTAGCAGTCCACATCCCAGTAACAGTGTCCTTTAACTAGGTCTTTAAAGTAGTAAATATGATTACCATTTACGTCAAATGGAGGGCCTATTCGGAGTCTGTCTTCCTCAATTTTTTTTTGTGGTCTTGAACACATTGGACCATAAGAAGAGTAGAGAAAATAGGGCTCGACGCTTCATGAGGACGTGAGCCAAAAAAGTTTTGAGGGTAGATTGTAACGCCCTGCAACATTATCCTGTTGAATTCTGCCGTTGTGAAATGTGATCCAAACGCGAATATTTCAAAATAGGAAAAGCCAGAGAGGTCAAATAGAAATTTAGTAAAATGGGTCGCTTCTCATTCATATACTAAAGCGCAATTTTTTTTTTCTCTTTACACATGCGGGATTAGGATCGTCCAATTATTAAATTTCCTTCTATACAAGCCTTGTAACAAAATGTCTTATAAGTAAAACATATCTCAATTTTAATAGAATTAATATCACAAAAAACCCTAAACTAGTACATCTATGATAAGTTTACCTCAAACTAGTGGTCAAAATCCCTAACTAGTACACACGTGATAAATTTGGCCCCCGTTAGTTTCCGTTAAATTTTACCGTCGAATTGTTGAATTGGATAACACGTGACAGTTGACGGATGTACCAATTCAGGGTTTTACCCCTCAATTTGTCACAGATTTATTGGTTTGTAGTTTTTCTTGGTATTAATCCAATTTAATGAAGGGTAAATTTGTCACAAGTGCAATAATTTGGGGGGTTTTGGTGGCCAAAAAATTAGTTTGGGGTAAATTTGTCGCATGTGTACCAGTTTAGGATTTTTGGTAGTCAAAAAATTAGTTTGGGGTAAATTTGTCACGAATGTACCAGCTTGAGATTTTTCGTGGTATCAATCCATTTTAATAAACCCAAATTGTGATTCTTTAGTTTGCCGATACAATAATGATAACCGGTTCACATTTCCAAATCAAAATATTATCGGGTACAAAGCCCGCTTTAAAAAAAAAAAAAAAGAAGAAAAGTTACGCATTCGCCGTTCGAACAAACGACACGCGCGTTTGGTATTTACTCTCGCAACAAATTCTTCCGTATCCCAAATATCCGATGGCGAATGTGCACGTCATATGCCGGCCCCCCGGCCGCGAACCTAATAAGAATATCTTCAAATTTCCCGAAACTCAAAAACAGCTCGATCGGTTTCAGCACAAGCAAAAATTAAATTAATTTTTTTTTTTCCAAACACCATGCTTCATTTGCTTCCAAAGAGGCCAAAAAAATTAGGCAACAAATCGGGGGGTCGGGACGCGCCCGGAAGTGGGAAAACGAGCCGGTGTTGGAGCGCTTCGGAAACGAGACAAAACCCTAACACACAGAAACACTGTTTTTGCTTTGCGCACACCCCCTACCCCATCTCCTCCTCTCACTATATAAACCCAGCTGATCTCTGCGCCTCTATCCAGAGCACCCCCCGCCGAAAACCCTAATCCCGCTTCCTCCGTTTCTTTCATCTTCTTCTTCTTCTTCTTCTTCTTCTTCCTCGCTTCCGCCGAGTCTCTCTTCCGGTGAGTCTGGCCTTCGGCTGTCGTTCTCGACCCGTCTCTGGGTTAGGCTAATCTTGACTCGTTTTGCATGTGCTCGTGCTGCGGTTTCAGGGGGGGGAAAGAAGGAGGGTCCGTGCTAGCCGCGCCGCAGCGATGTCGGACGACGAGAGGGAGGAGAAGGAGCTGGATCTCACTTCCCCTGATGTCGTCACCAAGTACAAGAGCGCCGCTGAGATCGTCAACAGTCAGTGCCTCTCATTTCGTCTTTTCGTTTCGAGTTGTGTTTTCCCCCTGTGTGGGCGGTTATCACCTGATGTGCCGGTGGGTTTTGAGGACGACGATAAGAGGGCCTGCGTGTTTGTGAGGGATGTTTAGTGTGACTGATGAGGGTCAAACTGTGTTTGGTTTTTCCTTTTTGTTCTCCTTGCGATGGTTACCCTTTTGTCATTCTCGTTTTTTGATACTTACCCTTTTGAAAATTATCTGCGGTACGCTCGATGCTTGCAGAGGCCTTGCAGCTAGTCGTTTCGGAATGTAAACCGAAGGCTAAGGTTGTGGACGTTTGTGAAAAGGGCGACTCCTTTATCAGAGAGTAAGTCTATTCGTTTGAGGTTTTCGCCGAATTCGCTTGTCGTGTATGTCCTTAGTTTCTTTTCACTTCCTCTGCCTCCTTTCGAAAATGGGCAAAATGGTTTCTCAATAAGTGCTTTATTCTATATGCAGGCAAACGGGAAACATGTACAAGAATGTCAAGAAAAAGATCGAAAGGGGTGTTGCGTTTCCAACTTGTATTTCTGTTAACAACACCGTCTGCCATTTTTCTCCCTTGGCGAGTGACGAGACAGTTTTTGAAGAAGGTGATATATTGAAAATGTAAGCTCTATTTACTCTTCTCGAAGCTTCGGCGTTCTAATAATTTTACATTTTTTCTGATATGTTGCTGAATCCTCGAATTGTTGAATCGAAAAGTGTGCCTGTGTTCTTTAACTAATTCGTGTTGGTTTTGATGTTGATACAGTGATATGGGGTGCCATATAGATGGTTTCATTGCTGTAGTGGCGCACACACATGTTCTTCAAGAAGGACCACTAACGGGTCGAGCAGCAGATGTAATTGCTGCGGCAAATACCGCTGCAGAAGTTGCTTTGAGGCTTGTTAGACCGGGAAAAAACGTAAGTCACCTGCTTTTCATGACATGTGTGCATGTAGTTATTCCTTGCACTTTGTTATTAAGTTTTGCTCAGGGAATGCTGAAAAATTTCTGTCTCTACTTTTGTTGTAGTGTCATTAGCCTTGTCTTTGAGTTGATGTGTTGGTTCTTGGCAGCCATTTGTGTAACTGCATCCTGGTTTAGGTCAAACTTATGGTAGGCAATACATGCCTGTCATTTTATGCAACTATGCATTATTTTAACTATGTATTTTATTTTACGAGTCTTATATATAGTGGAGTTTGTGCGGTGAAAATGGAGGGAAATGGTCTGCTAATGACGTGCTATGTGATCCTTATACAACTGTTTTACCCTCATATTTTTTGCCTCCTCTGCTAAGGGCAAGCATGTCGATTTTATGATGATTGATTGAGAGTAGGATCTTGGCTCCATATAATTTGTTTGCCTTGAAATTACAAGTTCTAAAAGATTGCCACTGACAAGTATTATGTTTAAATGACCTGGCAGCTTACAACTCTTGGCTTGGATCTTCAAATGTTGATATATTGAGATGTTTCAATATATTAGCGTAGTTTTGTTTCCAGGCCAGGTTGAATTAAATGCAATCTTTTTGTTTGCACTTTTAGGGTTATTCATACAGTTTTGAAACCTCCTCAATGTCTGCCCGGGCTTATTGTACTTTTTGTAAAGGAAAGTAGGCTTACGATGCCTCTTGGATGATTAAATCCTTTTAATGCAAAATATATTCTGTGATAATTCTGTGCACATTTGGTTTTCTCATATCTCATTCTTTTATTAGAATGAATTATGATAGGATGTCAACTTTATCTTTCTTTTTCGTCAAATGCGTTGCCCCCTAAAGGATGAATCTTTGTAATAAGCTATGGACTAACATCCAAATGAAGCTGTTGTCATAGTTACACTGACAGGGGAATTTCTGTGCACCTTAAGCATGTGTCTTCTTGTTCTGGCTTAGCTAAAATGTACTTTTCATTTTTAGCGGAAGTGTATCCATTGTAAGACTGTTAAACAATCTGTTGACAGCTTACAGGTATTTGAGGAAATTTGTATATATAGAGAGAGATAGATAATGTGGACTACATAACTTTGTTGATTGAATTTTATGGCAACTTTGCCGAGGTGATCAATGACTTCTTGATTTCCTCTTTTTCCCTGTTGCCAATATTATGTGTGGCTGTAGCTGGGATATTTGAGATCGATTGGAATGATATAGATTGATCCATACCCCTCTGGGCCAACATTTTCTCATTGATTAATTAGTTCGGGTTGAATTCGGATTTTGCATTTTTATTTCCAGTTGGGATGATAATTAGGTGCTGCCATTCTGTTCTGCTTTTTTGTGTGATCATACCTTTAACGTGGACTACATAACTCTGTTGATTGAATATTCATGGCAACTTTGCCGAGGTGATCAATGATTTCTTGATTTCCTCTTTTTCCCTGTTGCCAATATTATGTTTGGCCGTAGCTGGGATACTTGAGATTGATTGGAATGATGTAGATCGATCCATACCCCTCTGGGCCAACATTTATCATTGATTAGTTAGTTTGGGTTGCATTCGGATTTTGCATTTTTATTTCCTGTTGGGATGAAGGTTAGTGGCTGCCATTTTGTTCTCCTTTTTGGTGTGATCATACCTTTAATGGGACACATATGCCAACTTCAGCTTAGTGTCGCTGAGATAGTCTCTACTTGATGATGAGTACAATGAATCCGAAATCAAGTCCCTAGACTCCCTGCAATTCCTTGTTTTGTTGATAGTTCTTTTTTAAAGAATCGCTTGCTTTATTCTCTCATGTTTTTTAGTGTCCCAACGTCGCTTTGTATATTTGGAAGCTTTAAATTTTAAATGTTGATGGACGCTGACTATCGGAGCATAGCATCTTGAGCTCTCCCTGTATAGTGGATGCCATTTTCTCCCTCCTAGATTTTTGCATATGTTATTTTCAGTTTCTGCTAACCCGTGGAGGTGTCTACTTTTTCGGGGGAAGCATGGAAAACCCTGGGTGTGCACTGTGTTGGCGGTACCCCTGTGTGATGAATACTTTCAAAAGCTATGGACCAAATATCCACATGATGCTTTTGTCATAGTTACTCTGATGGGAAATCTGCAGCAACCGCTGAATGCCTCTCTCCCTGGCAGTTTAAATGGGGAAGGATGCAAGACAATAGTGTATATCATGCAATCCTTTAGTTGCTAGTTATTCTTGCTGGTCTGCTCTGCCGCAGCAACTTTCTTTTGTAGGGATAGTTAATTCTTAGCTGTCAGTTATAAACACTGTTCACTAGCGCGCATGTGTCTATCAGCAGATTTGTTACTTATTCCCGATTTGTTGGGTACCTGCTCTTTATGATCCATTCCTTGACCAGCCCTTTACATACTTCTTTTTTAGGTTTTGAAGTAGTGGAACACATATTGTTGTTTCCTTTGTGAGATAATCCCTTTTAATCCTTTTGGCTTGCTTCTTGTGCTGGACTTTGAAATCCCTTGAAGGAGATAAATCTAATGTCAACAGTTTGATGATGATGTAATTTCTAATTCTGTGTTATGGGAATATAGTGGTGAGTCATGATATATCAGTATGGGTGATAATCGTGTAGCAATATTTTCTAGAGAAGAAATTCGAAAGAAAGTCATAATGGACATGGGATCCATGTTAAAAGCAAAGTTTGCTTTTCATGCCTCATTCAGTTCAAGTTGAGGAAATCATCTAGACGCTTTGTCCATTTAATATGGTAGCAAATGTTTTAAAGAAACTTGTGACCCAGGTGGCAACTTTACTTTGGATACAATCTTGCTGAGATAGACCATTCTGTATTGGTCTCCTCCATGCATATCTCTCTTAAGGCTGCATTTCATACTGTGAAGTATGTATGTACTAATTTGACACACATTGTGGGAAGCTGTTTGCCTTTAGAATTAGCGAAGAGGCAGATGCATGAGATGCATTTTCATTAAGAGGGTTTCTAGGGATAATAGATAATGTTAGCTGGACCTTTTTTTTAATAGTTACTGTTCAAGAGCCATGATAGTTTGTTTGGAGCTGCTTCTGTAGCGATGGACCTGTTTTGCATGTTCTCCAGAATGTTAATAGAGACCAAGATGGGGAAATTTTGTTGAGGAGCCTAATTATAAGCTTAGATTTTAATTTATTCAAGTGGAGGTAGGTGTTATGCTGGACCATGGCTTTTATTCACTCCATCTTGGTTCTGCAGAATATTCTACAATCAGCATCGTACTTCTAGATTTGATATGAAGTACTGCTCTTACATATTCAACTATTGTTAAACTAGAGCACCCAAAAGAAGTTGGCTTTACGTTGTTTGAATACCAGGAGCTTCATTTGTCATATTATTCTGTAGGAAGTTGCAACAGCATTTATCAAGGAAGCAATCCAATATTTTGTTATTGAAGCAAAAAATTTGTTCCTGTTGTTTTTCTGTATCTTTATTTCAGTCTACATTTAGATTTGTGTTGGAATTTTTAAGTGAATTCTATTTTCTTTCTTATGGCAGAACAAAGATGTAACAGAAGCAATCAATAAAGTTGCAGCTGCATATGACTGCAAGATTGTCGAAGGTGTGCTTAGTCACCAGCTGAAGCAGTTTGTGATAGATGGCAACAAGGTTATCATAAGCGTCTCAAATCCAGACACAAAAGTTGATGAGTTTGAATTTGAGGAGAATGAAGTTTATGCAATAGATATTGTCACAAGTACAGGCGAGGGGAAGGTAAGTTTTCCATCTGCAATACAGTGGATACATGAAAGGTTGCAGTATCTAATCTTCTGCATAGTAGCTTCACCTGATTATGTGTCATGTATGCAGCCTAAACTGTTGGATGAGAAGCAGACGACTGTATATAAGAGAGCTGTGGACAAGAATTATCACTTGAAGATGAAGGCCTCTAGGTTTATTTTCAGTGAAATAAACCAGAAATTTCCCATCCTACCATTCAGTGCAAGGTTGTTTATGCTTTAGAATGCATTTTTTAATGTGCCATGGAAGTTTTGCTGGTATTATTATAATCAGTGTTGGAAGTTCTCTGGTATTATTGTAATCAGTGTTCTCGCTAATTCCTCAGGGCACTAGAAGAGAAAAGGGCCCGGCTGGGATTAGTTGAATGTGTAAATCATGAGCTCTTGCAACCTTATCCTGTACTTCATGAGAAGCCTGGTATGATATCTATATTTCGGGAGGCATTATTGGATATTTCTAGAGTTTATTTCCTAATAGCAGCTGCCAGGTTGATTTAACCTCAAGAGGGAAATGCCCAGTTTATCTAATAATTTCAGTTCATTGAGAGATTGGCATAAATCTTAATGGCACATGTTGCTACCCATTTTACATTGCTCAATTCAGAAACTAAATTGGCTGTTTTGCAGGTGATTTTGTTGCCCGTATCAAATTCACTGTCTTATTAATGCCGAATGGGTCAGATAGGATTACATCCCATTCGCTGCAGGAGCTTCAGCCGACAAAGACGATAGACGATCCCGAGATCAAGGCTTGGTTGGCTTTGGGGACCAAAACCAAGAAGAAAGGTGGAGGGAAGAAGAAGAAAGGTAAGAAAGGTACTGAATCAGCAGAGGCCGAGCCAATGGATGCGACAACAAACGGCGCCCAATCTCAAGAATGATCTCCTTTGTTTTTCGGTTGTTCCTTTTCTCCAATTTTGATACCCTAAACCATGTTAGCATGATTGTGTATTGTGACTTATCATGGCATGCAGTCGAGCTGTTTAAGGGTTGTCGAATTCAACATATTTCATATCGACACTTTTCGACTGCCATCCATCTTTATAAAGGAAGTGACGACGCCTAATGCTGTCTAGTCAGTCTTTCCCAAATCTCATGCGGCCGTTGCATTATGATGCGGTGAAGCTTTACTCTTTAGGTGAGGTTTGGATACTTGAATATTCCCTACGATAATGATAATATACCTTTTTCAATCAATGGCATTATGGCATTGTTCCCGTGTATGGAAGAAATTACAAGCTACTGAGCAACGATTAGAAGATTGCCTGCCAGAGGGTTATAATCAGCTATTCGTATAAATGTTTTTAATGAAATAATTATGCGGAATAGATTGAAAAGGGGTGGCTCATTCTTGCTAACCAAACTGGATGTGAGGTAAAACTGGATTCCACGGAATTGTGCAAGATACGTGCACAATTTTTGAGGTGAGGTAACAAGCTTGTAGTTTAATACTTACAATTGTGATTTTGGTCATTGGCAGAAGATAAGGCATGTTTTTGGAAAAAGTGCCAAAAAAGTTCAAAACCTTTTGCATTTGTGTCAATTTAATCATAAACCTTTTTTTGGTGCCAATTTAGTCCTAAATCTTTTGTATTTGTGCCAATTTAGTTATAAATTTTTTTTTGTGCTAATTCAATCCTAAACTTTTTATATTTATGCCAATTCAGTCCTAAATCTTTTTATCTTTGTGCCAATTTAGTCATTCCGGCCAATTTTCGGCAGATTTTGCTAACGTGGATGCCGGCGGCCAATCACCGGCGTTGACGTGGACAATTTTTAATAATATTTTAATATTTTTTTGAATTTTTATTTATTTTTTCTTTTTTTCCCCTCCCCTCCCTCCCTCCTTCCTCCAGCCGGTTGTCGGACCAGCAACAGACTAGAGGCCACCTCGCCGGCCACTAGCGCGACCTCGCTGGCGACGGCAAAGGCGAGCCTCGCCCAGCCGCCGGCGACGGTGAAGGCGAGCCTCGCCATGGCTGGGTGAGGCACGACCTCGCCGGAGGCTGCGCCAACGAGGGCGAACCTACGACGAGGGCTCGAGCCTTGTCGGTGGCTGGGCGAGGCATGACCTCGCCAGATCCGGCGAGGTCGTGCCTCACCTAGCCTTAGTGAGGGTTGCCTTCGCCGTCACCGGTGAGGGCGAGCCTCGCTGGCCGGTCACCGGTCTAGCGACTGGCTAGAGGAAGGAGGGAGGGGAGGGAAAAAAAAAGAAAAAAAGAAATAAAAATTCAAAAAAATATTAAAATATTATTAGAAGTTATTCACATCAGCGCTAGTGACCGGCTAACGTTCACGTCAGTAAAATCCGGCCAAAATTGACCGGAAAGACTGAATTGACACAAAGACAAAAAGGTTTAGGACTGAATTGACACCAATGCAAAAGGTTTAGGACTTAATTGACACCAAAAAAAGGTTTAGGACTAAATTAGCACAAATGCAAAAGGTTTAGGACTTTTTTGACACTTTTTCCCATGTTTTCTGGTAGTTCTCCTTTTTCCTATAATTTGAAGATAAGAGCGTAGATGACCGGTTATCTGAAGGTCCACAGAATATCATGCAAACTTCATAGACCTGCTAAAATCAACTATGCTAACAGTGTACAACAGCTAACAACAAATACAGAGGATTCATTCCTATTTTGACTGTACAACTGTTATTACAAGCAAAGATAATATACAAATCAAAAAAATATAATTAAGGCAATCGATTGGCCTCCAAAAATGTTGTACCGCCGTATGTGAGGTTGCAAATCAGCGTGAGGATCTTGAGAATGACCTATACGCCTCTGACGCTTAAGTGCCTTTTGGAATTTTTGGGCCATGAACAGTTTGGTTTAGAACATTCTTACCCGACCATTTGGTAAGAACGGGTATTGCTATGATACTGATCGTCGTATCATACCATGCAACATTACGACGCACCCATCACAAAGAACAAGAAGTCGTATGATGCGTTTTTTCGGTTTTCCAAATACACCAGCTGACAGCAGCAAAGATACCCCCAGGACTCTTCCAGGTTTCTCTAAAGCGGTGGATTCATTTGCAAGATGAGTGTGCAATTTATTCTCCAGTCGCCACTAGCAAGTTGATGTAGCGAAGATGGTGATGATAAGAGCAACATCCGAAATTAGCAGAGTTAGTATTATGACAGAGTGAATCTTTGGCTATATAGATATAAAACCCAATTATGAACACTAACAACTCAGTTAGCATTACTAGTCGAATGCGCACCAAATTTATCTGCACTGTCGATTGTGTGAGTCGCATGGTGAGGCCCACATGATGAATAGTTGATATGACGTCGATCCACATAGATTATAGACCATGAAAGAATTATTGTACCGTCTCTAAATCATGTGGACCAAATTCATTAGCACTGTCAATCATGTGGGCTCTATAGAGAATCTACCTAATTGGTAACTTCTCAAAGCAAAAGATTGATTGGTCTACATGGTCTGTGCACCACACAATAACTTCCTGAAGAAAAAATTATTACATGGTCTAATCAAGTCCGTCTAATTGTCATGATTTATAGATCATGTAGCAACTTTTCAAAATAAACAAAAAAATTACATGATCTGTTGATCATGTAAACTAAGTCCATCCATGCCGCTGATTATGTGAGCCCCATACCGAGATCCACACAACCAATAATTCGGATGATATTGATCCGCATGGTAAATGCAATTTCTTCTTCCCTTCAAAGGTTAAAAACGCTGTCCCACTCATGTACTGGTTGAGCCAGTTCAGTACCATGATTACTCCGTGATCAATGGTTTGCAACTTTGCATGTCGTCTCACCAATAATAGGACATGACCCGTGACAATTCATGAATTGGGAATCATGCGTCACACCGGCATCTTTCCGCAAACGTTGGCTTTTCTAATGGTTCAAATCGCGACGCTTTTCACAATTATAGCGTTCGATAAAGTTGCATTAGTGAAAAAAGAAAGAAGAAAGAAAAAAAGCTTTCTGAGAGGCAAGAGCGTGTTGGAGCTTGGAGGCGAGAGCGACAAACGAGAGAACGAGCGTGAATGGTCGAGAGCTTTCCGAGGAGGGAAAACAAGAAAAACGACGGATGTGTCATGTTATATGAGAGAAAGGAGAGGTATGGGAGAAGGTGGATTGTGAACAGGAGGGCAAAACAGCACTTCAGTCATCAATCGTTAGTTTCAGACTACATTCTAAGTGGAAAAATGGAGATATGGCTTTCGATAGTTTCCGTGAGTTTTATTTAATTTTTAATGAGTGATTGACGATAAATAATCTTAGGGTTAATATTACGAAAAATCTTAAATTGGTATATCTATGACAAATTTATCCAAAATTAATTTTTTGATCACGAAAAATCCCAAACTGGTATACTCGTGACAAATTTTTACCCACCGTTAATTTCGGTTAAATTTTACCGTCAAATTATTGAGTTGGATGACACGTGGCAATTGACGAGTGTACTGATTTAGAGTTTAACCCTCCGTTTGTCATACGTGTACCCGTTTTGTGGTATTAATCTAATTTAATGAGGGATAAATTTATCACAAATGTACCAGTTTGAGATTTTTGGTGGTAAAAAAATCAGTTTGGGTGTACCATTTTGGGATTTTCTGTGATCAAAATATTAGTTTGGGGTAAGTGGAGTTAGTATAATTAGGGGTGAGCATGGTATGGGTAGGCAATTCCCACCCTAAAATTGAGAACTGCCTACTAAGAATCGGTTTAGAAAAATTAAAACCGGGAACTATCCGTTGGTTCCATGGATCCACTTGAGAACTGGACCGTCGGTCCTGTTCCTGAGTGGATTCATGGAGCCGATCCCACTAGTCAAGGATGGAGATGGAAAGACGGAGACGGAGATAGAGAGTCGGAGACAGTGAGGTGAGCATCGACTGAGAAAAGTGAGAGAGTGAGAGTGAGCGTGAGGCGAAAGCGAAAGGAGGTATTTTTCGGCTCAATGTGAGGTTGTGAACTTCGAGCAAGTTAGGTTTAGTTTAAGGATTTCGGATTTTTATTTTTTTTTAAAAAAAATTAAAACTTAAATAAATATATTATATTTATTATTATATTACCGGTCCGGTGCGGGTGGGCGAGTGAGCGGGCGGTTCCACGCTTAGAACCGGACCGGGAACTAGACCGGTTTCCTTAGGAACCATCGATTTCTGGGCGGTCCGGGCAGTTTTCGATTCTTTTGTACACCCCTATGTATAATGAAGGTTTCACATTAATCGAATTTGTAAATGGATCTCATAATACTTTTGCATTATCTATTCGCTGAATTCAAATCGAATGAAAGTTGTTGCGGACCAAGGATTGAATAGACGAATCTAGCGTTTCAAGAGTGACTCAAGAGGTAATGACCTCGTGAATTTTTAGATATCACTGCCGTATAACTTTAACTAGAATTAAATTCGGCGGCGTCTATATTTATAACTTATCCGTCAGAGAAACGCCATTTAATGAGGAACGCAGGAAAAGCTACTCTCGTCGTGGCTCCGTTTGTTTCGCACAAAATATAACATTTCTAGAAACGAGTTTTCAAGGATGTCATTTCCAAGAAATAACAATGTTTTTTTATGTTTGGCTGAAACCTGAAAGCAAATTGAAAATTTTTTTTTGTCGTTTGATAATGAAAATATGATTTAATTTTCTTAATTAGATATATACTATTCGGGTGCTAGTTACTTGCGTATGGGCAGTCGTAGATTCGATCTCGGGCGTGGGATCTCGAGCTCGGTCATCAGGGTCCCGAGCTTGACCTTGATGGAACTGGGTGCAAGCACTGGGGTCTCGAGCCTGGCCTTGTTGGACACGGGCCCGGGCACTAGTGTCGAGATCCCAGGTCTGCCCTTGATGGACTTGATCCTGGGTGCAGGCTCAGGCGCCGGGGATCTGGTCCTGGGCACATGCACCTGAGTCCCAAGCCTTGGCCTTAATGGACTAAGGCTTAGGCGCGAGGGATTTAGGCATGGGCATTGGGGACTCGAGCTTGGGCGTTAGGGACCTAGGAGCACTAGGGTCCTAGGCTTGGCCTAGATGAACTCGCACCCTGGCATGGCTATTTAGATATAAAACCCAATTATCACACTAAAAACTCAGTTAGCATTACTGCTCGAACATAATCTATAGATCATGTGCACCGAATTCATCTGCACTGTCTCGATTGCGTGAGTCACATAGTAAGACCCACATGATTAATAATCAATTTGATGTCGATCTTTAGACCCATGTCCGCTTCCAAGGGCTCGGGAATGAGCGTTGAGGCTCCCATATCCAAACGCAGAGTTTTTATCCAAGCGCCGATATCTAGTCATGCATTGAAAAAAGATGCCTGATTTTTTAAAGAAGAAATTATTTTCCTGAATTTAAGCATAAAGCATCCGTTGATTAGGAAAATATTTTCTATTGACTTATTTGCTTAAGTGATCCATACACCGTAAAAAGAGAAAAATATTTTGCGTGAAACAAACAAACGGAGCTTGTCTTATTATTAGGATGTCCGGTGCTTAATCAAAATCTCTAGTTATTAATGCAAGACGTAACTGTTCCAACCAAATTGGTCTAAGTCCACCTTGTTCTTTTTATTTCCTCTGTAACGAGCGTCCAATGACATGCAGTTCCTTCTTTTGTCAACGTCACTGCGCTTAGAGTAGCACTTCCATTTGCTCCATTAACTAAAACCTAATTACGACGCTCAAAACTAGATTAGCATCATGAGTCGGACAGGGATGTTAATGAGTAGGTGCAAAGGTGAAAATTGCGATCCCCACTTCATGCAGTGATCGACTTGGTTTAGATTCAAATTGGGATAATGACACAAACAGTCTCTGAACTTTGACCCAATGTGCAATTTGATCCCTGAACTTTTAATTTGTTCAATGTAGTCCCTGAACTTTAGCCTAATGTTCAATTTGGTCATTGAACTTTTAATTTGTTCAATGTGGTCCCTGAACTTTTATCACATGTTCAATTTAGTCCATGAACTATATGAAAATGTTCAATATAGTCCTTGCACTTGAATTAATAGAAGGACTACATTGAACATTTTCAAATAGTTCAGGGACTAAATTGAACACATACTAAAAGTTCAGGGACCACGTTGAACAAATTAAAAGTTCAGGGACCAAATTGAATATCAGGCTAAAGTTCAGGGACTTCATTGAATAAATTAAAAGTTCAGGGACCAAATTGCACCTTGGGTCAAAGTTCAGGGATTGTGTCATTTTTCCATTCAAATTAAAGAGAACACGGAGTACACAAGTTGGCTCTGTCGTATGTATGATATTTATCCTCGCTCGCACTTGTGATATTGCCCATCAAGCTTCGAGAAATTACCGCATGGATGGAGTATATGTACAAAACTGAATTTGTACCGCTGAAAGTGATGGATTCGATGTGGGTCAAACCTTGAATCTCACTAGATCTGATGGACCAATTTTAGTCTTTACTCAATAATTTACCATCGAGTTTAGATTAAGTGTAAGGCTAGGAAGCACGGACACTCTCCGGGGGCCTCCGTGTCGTGTCGGACACTTCGGACACCGATACTCGTCCGACACTCTTTATTTATTTATTTTTGGATTTGAATCAAATTAATTTGATTGAAATAATCATAAAAATGATAATTTATTATGTATATATAAAAATATATAATAAATATACAGCGTGTTTCAACGTGTCGGATCTCTCTATTTTCTGAGAAATGATGTGTTGACGTATCGTGTCGTATCGTGTCGTGTCGTGTCGCATGTCTCGTGTCTCGTGTTAGTGCTACTTAGGTGTAAGGTTGTTCATAAAATAGTTCGTCATTTGGTAGTTGGTGTTTTAAGGAGCAATTAGGGGTTAGGAATCGGTTTGGCTGGTTTGTTTTTAGGCCAATTCCTGTTTACAAGACTAGTTCGGTTCTTGATTCCCAAGGTTGAAAACGCCGACCGACTCTCAACCTCTTTTCAACCTTCCTTTATTTAAAAGAAAATTGTACTAAACAATAATTATGGTAAAATTACCAAAAAAAAGTCTTAAACCTATTGTAATTGTGCCAATTCGGCCATAAATCCTTTTTTTTGGCCAATTGAGTCTTAACATTTTGCATTTATGCTAATTCAGTCCATCTGGCCAATTTTGGCTAGAAATCACTAACATAGACATCAACCATCCTACATGGCGTGGTGGACACTGATGTGAACAATTTTTAATAATATTTTAATATTTTTTCCAATTTTTTATAAATTTTTTAATATTTTTTTTCCTTTTCTTTCTTCCTCTTGCTGGTCACCGGACCTCCGTGATCGGCCAGAGGTAAGGACGAGCCTCATCCAGCCACTGGCGAGATTGAGAAAGTGAGCGAAAATGGCTGTGAGATTGAGCCACGTAGCTTTGAGGATCATAGGCGGCAACGGCATCGTTGCGCGCACTGTCTCCTCCTCTCTCCACCTTCGCTCTAGCATGGGCCTCCCTGTTGGCAAGCACATCGGCCCCTTCAAGCTCGTAAGCGATTTCATCTTGCTCATAGAAACCCTAATCCACCATCTTCGTTCTCGTATCTGCATCTTGGAAATGTCGTGCGAGTGAAATGCAATCGATGTGATCATTTTCGGCATTTTCTGAAATCATTTTCGATTGTTGATTTGCTGTTTTAGGTGCCTGTGAACGACGAGCTCGTTTGGGACAACAAGATCGTAGTTGTCGAGCCCTGCATTGATCGTATCCCCGATACTATTGGAAAGGTTGGAGAGGTTTTTTTGTTCTTTTGATTGATTCATCGATGAAAAACTGTGTGACATAGTTCCCCGAGGCTCGCCCTCGACAGTGGCCAGCGAGGTCACCTCTAGCCAATCGCCGAGGTTTGGAGACAGGCTAGAGGAAGAAGGGAAGGAAAAAAAAAAGAAAAAAAAGAAAAAAATCGAAAAATATTAATTTATAATAAAAAAATTGTTGACGTCAATGTCGGCCGCGCCACATAGGATAGCCAGTGTGCATGTCAGCAATTTCTAGTCAAAATCGGTCGGATGGATTATATTGGCACAAATGTGAAAGGTTTATGATTCAATTGGCAAAAAAAAAATGTTTAGGACTGAATCGACACAATTACAATTTGTTTAAGACTTTTTGGGTAATTTTTCCCAATAAATGTCCACGTGAACAATTTAACCAAAGTAGGATTTGTGTTTAATAGACATTTATTTTTATATTTTATATCAAATAAAGATTTTTAGTCCTTAACAAAAAGAAGAAGAAGAAGATTCTATCATTTCCCGAAAAAAGCCTAGGACTGGCCTGGAATCACCAGCTGAGGAGTTCTCATGTTGGCTTAGGAACCTAAAACTCATAGGTGATTTATTGGGTTCTTGATTCTAGCCACGAATTAAACCACTTAAGAACTGATTATCCTAAATAATGGATATCACAATTAGGTAAATTTATGGTGAAGTCGAAGGTAATTTTAGGTTTATCGATTAAGTGCACCTATTGCATTTATTGCCCTTAGATCATATCTGAGGGGGATCAGATCGTCTACCCTATTGGTGTATTCGTTTAGCGTCCCATCTATCAAAACCATCAGTGTAGATATCAATTAGAACGGTGAATTTTATTGCTATTCTATCATTGCTAACACTCATTGAATCACCAATAAGGGAAACAAGTAGGGTAGAGAGGATCCAAGGGCTGTAGTTTCGCAGGGTGCACTCGATCGACTCACATGAAAAAGTCCTCACGACACCATGCTACTTGTACATATAGGTCGGCTCAAATTTAGATTTCCCACAATTAGGGGTGAACAGTTTTGGGTTCGTCTAGAAACCACAACTTACCCGTTGGAACAAATTTATCATTTTTTGAAACTTGAAACCTACCCTATTGGAGGTTCAGGTTATAGGGTCTACCCATGTTTGCATGTATTATTAATTGAACGATTACAATGAATTATTGCATTTAATGACCATCACTTGCTGCTATAATAAACTAACCACAACTTATATTTAGATACACACAAAATATAAAGCATTAACAAAGTAAAGGTCTCAATCATAAAATAGAAGCTCATATTAGTGGTTCTAGATTATATATTCATCATCGGATGCCATGAAATATCGCAGGATCATGCGAAAATATAGATCAAGAAAAACACAAAAACTTTTACCGTGTTCTTGGTTCTAGGTTCCATCTATCTAGAACTTGGAACTTACTCATCGAAACAGATTCCTCAAATTTTTGGAACTTGAAATCTAACCTTCATATTCTGAAACCTGGAATCCACCCGTCGAAATAAGTTCCGGTTCTAAGTTTTACATGGAACTATGCTCATCCCTACCGCCCATGAGTTCTTTAGTTACTACGGATCTTGTTCCTTTGAAATAGAATCTCACATCCCTCTTACAAACTTGCGCCAAGATGGCAATGTCATCGTTAACACCGCCTTGTTTCCTCTCGATCACATCCTCGAGCCAACGCCACCGGAAAACCGCCCACCTTACTCCGAAGTCAGCAAAAATTCATAGTGCAACAAACCTGGACGACAATATTGGCTCGCTCGAGACGTGCAAGCCCCCATGCAACCGCGTGAGCAGCCCTCCCAATGTCGTCGCCTCCGTCATCCAGCCCTCCCACTCCACCATGGCCCTTGGCCCCTCAAAGGCCACCCTTGGCCGCCATCTGGCGCGCCGGCTCGTTCAGATCGGCGTGGACGACGTGTTCTCCGTCCCGGGGGACTTCAACCTAACGCTCCTCGATCACCTCCTCGCTGAGCCGGGCCTCAACCTCATCGGCTGCTGCAACGAGCTGAACGCTGGATACGCAGCCGATGGCTACGCGCGGTCCCGGGGTGTGGGCGCCTGTGTGGTGACGTTCACCGTCGGCGGGCTCAGCATCGTGAACGCGATAGCCGGTGCGTACAGCGAGAACCTGCCGCTCATCTGCATTGTCGGTGGGCCCAACTCCAACGACTACGGCAGCAACCGGGTCCTCCATCACACCATCGGCTTGCCCGATTTCACCCAAGAACTGCGGTGTTTTCAGACTCTCACTTGCCATCAGGTTCGTTCGCAGGAATCAAGCACTTGGGCACTCACATTGCCCATGCTCTTCTTTTTCTTTCCTCGTGCTGTGTTTTCCTTACAAATCGCTGCACTCAATTTCAGTTTTTAGTGGGTCCATTATCGTTTTGAGGGGTCAGGGCAGATTGCATTGTTCAGAGGGTTGAATATGTTCTTCGTCAACGTGAATAATATTTAAACTTCTTTTTCTTTAACTCTATAGGCGGTGGTGAATAACCTTGAAGATGCACATGAACAAATCGACACTGCAATCTTTACGGCTCTGAAAGAGAGCAAGCCTGTGTACATCAGCATCAGCTGCAACTTAGCTGCGATCCCTCACCCTACTTTCAGCCGCAAGCCCATCCCCTTTTCGATCTCTCCCACGTTGAGCAATCAAATGGTTTTGGAGGCCGCGGTGGAGGCGGCCGCCGAGTTCCTGAACAAGGCGGTGAAGCCCATCATGGTCGGCGGGCCCAATCTCCGCGTTGCGAAGGCATGTGACGCCTTTGTCAAACTGGCTGATGTCTGCGGTTACGCCCTCGCGGTGATGCCCTCTGCCAAAGGTCTCGTCCCTGAGCACCACCCCCGCTTCATCGGGACGTACTGGGGTATGGTGAGCACCGCGTTCTGCGCGGAGATCGTGGAGTCTGCCGATGCGTACTTGTTCGCAGGGCCCATCTTCAATGACCTTAGCTCTGTTGGGCACTCTCTCCTTATCAAGAAGGAGAAGGCGATCATAGTGCAGCCCGATCGGGTCGTGATCGCGAACGGCCCCTCGTTCGGGTTTGTCCGGATGAATGATTTCCTAGAGACACTTGCCAAGCGACTTAACCGAAACACAACGGCTTATGAGAACTACAACCGAATGTACGTTCCTGAGGGGCGTCCTCCCAAACGTGAGCCTAAGGAGCCACTGAGGGTCAATGTTCTGTTCCAACATATTCAGAACATGCTGTCGAGCAAAACTACTGTGATCGCCGAGGCAGGAGATCTTTGGTTCAACTGCCAGAAACTTAAATTGCCCAAGGGTTGTGGGTAAGCAAAGCAAGCATTCTTTCGCTATGATACTTCAAGTCTTCAACGTGTTATATCAGAATGTTATATTACTAGCTAAATGGCTTTCAATGTGTCTGTGTTTTGCAGTTGCGAGCATCAAATGCAGTATGCATCAATTGGTTGGTCCGTCGGAGTGACTCTTGGATACGCTGCGGGTGCGCCTAATAAGCGGGTGGTCACTTGCATTGGCGACGGGAGCTTCCAGGTATAATACCGCTTTCCTAGTCATTGTGGTGGTTGTTCATGTTCAGCCAAGGTTTGAGATATCTTCTCTTCGGAAGTTATTGATAGAAAGCTTTATCTAGTTCAAATTTTGAAGACATTCTTCACATGATCATCATCTACTATAATGAATCGATACTCCTTTTGCTTTACCGTCGATCCACAGAAACCATGTAGTTAATTGGCTGATGGGGTCAGGGACCATTTGTACAACCTGCAATACCATTATTCGGTACGCTGACTTTCATTATTTTGATGTCGAATAGATGACTGCACAGGATGTCTCGACGATGCTGCGATGCGGACAGAAGAGCATCATCTTCCTGATAAACAACGGCGGATACACCACCGAGGCCGGGATTCACGATGGACCCTACAACGTAATCAAGAACTGGAACTACACTGGCTTGGTTGATGCTATCCACAACGGGGAGGGCAAGTGCTGGACAACGAAGGTGATGGAGCTTGTTATTATACCACTCAGACTCCATTTCCCGTGCCACATCGGCCTGTCGGGAGATCATGGAAAGAAAAAAAAGACCTCATTGCTCTTGTCTTGCAGGTCTGCTGCGAGGAGGAACTCGCGGAGGCGATTGAGACCGCGACCGGGCCCGAGAAAGATTGCTTGTGCTTCATCGAGGTGATTGTGCACAGGGACGACACGAGCAAAGAGTTGCTGCAGTTCGGCTCCAGAGTCGCAGCTGCCAATAGCCGCGCGCACATTCCTCGCGGCACCATTTGATCTCCTTCTATGCTTGCCCTGGAAATTGCCGTATTGTTTATTAGCAAGGCGTTTGCACATTTTCCAGTTAGTAATGTTATTTTCATGATGCGAGTTTGGTTCTTCAGAGTACGTTTTATACTCTCTTGGCATTAATTGCTGAAAAATCAGAGAAAAGAGAAAAAAATAAGAGAAAATAAAATTGTTTGGATGAAAATGCCATTGACCACCTAGAATATTTAGTTGGCAGGCGACCGGCGAGGTAAGGCCCTTATACAAAATCATCATGGCTACTTCAAATCCTTATTTGAGAATAACATAACCACTTTAGGATCTTATTTGATACAAAATTCAATTCATGCCTTTATTAGAGAAAATGAGAGTATTTCAGGTTTTTATTTGAAATTTTTCCTAGAAAATGGTGTGTGACCCAGTAACAAAAAGCGAAAAAAACAAAAGAAGTGAAGAGATGGGGAACAGTGCGAATGGCTGGATAAAATTACCGCATGAACCACTTCCTTTCTAAGGTTAATACTATAAAAACCCATAAATTGGTACACTTGTAATAATTTTACCCTTTGCTAGAATTGCTTGATTGGATGACACGTAACAGTTGACAGGCGTATTAGTTCAGAGTTTTTCCCCTTTGTTTGTTACAAGTTTATCAATTCGTGATTTTTCGTGGTATTAATCTAATTTAACGGAAGGTAAATTTGTTATAAGTGTTTTAGTCTGGGGTTTTTATGGTCAAAAAATTAGTTTGGAAGTAAATTTATCACATATGTACCAATTTGAGATTTTTTATGTTATTAACCCTTCTTTCTATGCTAGAAGATTGCCCCCGCCATGCACAAGGCAATATATGTTAAAGTAAGCAACGTTGTATTAACTATTTTCATTAACAAAGAATGTCCAAAGAAGCAAAACATAAGGTACCAAAACATCGAGAGAACTCGTATGGTACTTTTTCTACTTTCAAGAAGTCTCCGAAGACTTCAATGATCTTCCAATCGAGTTGTGTTAACGGCAATCGCGTCATGATCAGCGGAATCGGATAAATAAATTGGGCCAGTGCCCCGGAGCGGAGGGCGCCGTGCCGGGCACGGCCCCTTGTTCGCGTTGGGCCCGGCATGGCCGGTGTTTAGGTGGAACACTTCTTAAAAGAATTCATGTACCGATGAGGCTATAGTCTAATAGATGCCATTTTTTTGTCTACTACAGAAAGGCAAATGCATCAGTATTCTCGCGCACAAGAATGACGAATATGAATTCAAATCCCCAGACTCCTTGCTTAATTTTGTTTTCAAAATTTTTCTTGGCAAAATGTTGTGAAAAAAAGAAGAAGCCACGAATGCAATAAAATAAATATTACAACAGGTGCTCGTTGCAAATTATTTTTATTGTAACGAATAAGTTAACGTAACCAACCCCAGTGGCCACCCTTCCTTTCTTGGGAAGGAGGAAGTGGGTAATTCGATTCTCCACGTTCTCAAAAGGGGTTAGAGGCGGGACGTTTAGTTTCAAATATGAGTTTCGATTCTCACTCTCTTAAAAAAAACGCATGTAAAAAATCCGAGAATTAACATAATATATGAAAAAACCCACGTTGAGGAAGGGTGTGCGTTCTGGACCTTGTGTCTTTGGTATAGAAGAATAATTCTAGATTTTATTTACGAAATATAATCAAAATCTAAAGCTTTTAATTGCAAAAAAAAATCAATTTTATTTATTTATTTAGAGATAAGTGCATTAAAAGTCTTAAAATTTATTACAATTGAGCCCTTAAAATTTCAAAAAGTGCAATTAAGTACTAAAACTTGTCAACAAGTGTAATCAAGTCTTGAAACTTTCAAAAAGCACAATCAAATCCTAAAACTTGTCAAATTGGTTCAATCATGCCGCGCCGTCGATTGCACTCTTTGAAAGTTTCAAAACTCGATTGTACTCTCGTGACAAGTTTTAGGAGTCGACTGCATTTCCTGAAAGTACTCTCGTAACAAGTTTTAACACTTCGAGCGCGCGTAATCCCTAATTTTTTTAATATTTATTTTCTTATTTAAAATTTGGTCGTATTTCGAAAAAAAACCCCTCCTCGTTGTGTTTTGTCTACTCACCATTGTCTTTGACCTTTGGAAGGAAGGAGCTGCTTCTGGGGTCTTGGGGTTAACCTCTGTCATCATCATCGTCGTACTTAAACGAGCGTGCGCTCTGTCGATAGGCCGAACCTACCCTGTTCCCTCGCTTCAGTGGCCTTTGCTTTCGCAGCAATCTTGATTGCGCCTGCTCCTTGTTCAACTCCGGAAAGACAGTCCCCAGAAGAAGAAGAAGAAGAAGAAAATTTGAACTCACGGGGAGGATATCGAAGCGGGAATGAAGTCGGGTCGGCCTCGGAGAGAAGCGGCGGAGGTGGGTCCGGAGAAGAACAAGAACGAGGTAGATTGGGAGATGAGGCCGTGCGGCATGCTCGTGCAGAGAAGGGAGGAGGACGACGCCGCTTGCAATGGGGCCGGCGGAAATGGGCCGACGATCAAGATCAACGTATCGTATGGCTCGTCCCAGCACGAGATCTTTGTGCCCTCTCGCTCTACCTTCGGTATTCATCTCTTCTCGCTTCGCGGTTTTCCCCTTCTTTTGTTTTGTTATTCTTTTGCTCTATCTGGGTGTGGTTCTTGAGACTCGAATTTCTTGATTTTTTCGGTTCTGTTTTCAAATTCTTGGCAATGCTGTAGTGATTTACTAATGATATGTGAGTGTTAGGTTTTGGGTTATTTCGGGTGTTCTGCTGTAGTGATGTTTGTCCAAATGTTTGCCTAAGTAGTCAATGCGGGAGTTCAGCTTTCATGTGCTTTTTGCTTTGTAGGTTTTGTTGTGTCTGGTGCCTGTAATCGGTTCTATATCAGAGTTCTCTCGTTCTTGCTTATGTGCGTGTGTTATATAGTACATGGGCAATTTTGTATGGTTAATGCTTCCCTTTCTTTCTTGTGGCTGCTCAAATTGTGTTTTACTGGCGTAATGTATGTGAAAATTGATAGGATGAGCTGGCCCATTAGACTGGGCCAAATGTACAAGTCAGATTTTCCACCACTGGCTTATGTGTATTCTTTCTATTAAAGAAGTTACGGTGGATTTGTTGAGAGGAACAATACAATCGCAACTGCGAGAGTGGAGGAAGAAAAATAGGAGAGATTGTAATTCCAACCTGTTTATGTTGTTACAGTCATGAGCCTGGGTTATGATTGAACTTATTACCTTTAGGATCCTAGGTTATTATTGATAGGCATCTTTACATGAGAAATCCCAATGCCTGTATGTCAAGTTCGTCATGGCAAGAAAAGTGAAGTCCTCTTTTCATACAGTAGATGATATATATGATCTTCTTACAATAAATCTTCCTTCAACTAGTATAATAATGGCTGAACATAGGACATTGGTGTCATCCGATGTGTGCCACTATTAAAGCACTCTCACGATCATTCTCAATAGAGTAGATATGTTTAGAGCTTTATTTTAGGAAAACCATATCTGCATGATCAATTTTACAACACTTGAAATCCCAATCCCTGTATTTCAAGTTCTTTAGTATTACAAAAGTGAAGTCCTCTTTGCGTATGGTAGTCAATATATGATAGGAAAAATTCACCTTTTCTTCCTTGTACTTTCTCGCCTATTCTAATCAAGTCCCTGTACTTTTAATTTATCTAATATAATGAATCTACTTTCACAAATTTTCTAATCAAGTCTCTCTGACACAAAATCCCATTAAATTTAGTTGATGTGAATGTCGGACAATGCCAAAGTATGATGTGCATAAAATATGCGGATTCCCACATGGACGTGTGGAAAAATTAGCCAATGATGTGAATAAAGTTAAGTCAATACGGACACCCACATGGACATCCACATTGAAAAAAATTTATCCATATCATATCATGACGTTGTTCGACGGCCACATCAGCTGAATTTGGTTGGATTTGGTGTTGGACGGACTTAATTTGGCAAATTGAAGGTCAAGAGACTTGATTAGAAAGAACTTGAAAGTACAAGAACAAAAGGTAGAATTTTGCCTACATGATATCTTGAACTTAATGTTCGTTCAAGTAGTATAATAATAGCTGAACATGGGACATTGGTGTCGTTCCATGTGTTCCACTGTTATAGCACTCTCATAATCCTCTCTACTGAGTAGGTGCTGTTGGAGGTTTATCTTGGGAAAACTATATCTGCGTATCCAATTTGCAACATTCATTCGCTCCTACTTTTATGCCTCAACTTATGCTCCAGTTGGCTCTTCAATGCAGGGGAAATGAAACAAATTGTTGCTAACAGAATTGGCTTGGACCCTGTAGAGCAGAGACTTTTGTTTAGGGGTAAAGAGCAGGAGGATGAAGAGTGTTTGCACCTTGCAGGCATAAAGGAAAACTCCAAGGTTGTGGTTTTGGAGGATCCAGCTAGTAAAGAGAAGAACCTTGACCAATCCCAGGAGAGTGAAGAGGTCTCCATAGCATCTGAAGCTGTTGCTGGCGTCAGAGCAGAAGTTGATAAACTCTCTAAAAGGGTAACTTCTCCCACCTTTGTAATTGCTTGCTTTGTCCTTTTCTTGGTTGATTAGTCTAGCCGCTTGGCTAATTAAGTGGAGATTCAGTTGATGTTTTTGGTAATTTCAGGTAGCTGAGCTTGAAGTGCTTGTGCATGATGGCACAAAAGTAGAAGAGAAGAAATTTGTGGAGCCTACAGAGTTGCTCATGAGGCAGTTGCTGAAATTGGATGGTATTGAGGCTCAAGGAGAGGCTAGGGTGCAGAGGAAGGCTGAGGTTTGTATCAATGAATTGTTGGTTTAGAGGTTCATGCCTTTAAAATTTGCTTCTGTACCAGGATAGAGCATCGAGTTGCATGGAAACCATGTTGATGATAGTCTTCTGCAAGCAATACTAGTATAATCACTAAATCTGACATGCAGTGTTTTTCACATCAAGTGTGAAAACTAAATTGTGTAATAGATTACCTTGGACTGTTTAAGCATGCCTTAATTTTTTACTGCACCAAGTGATTAATATTTCTATGAGCAAATTGCAGCTGTGAAGTGGTAGAAATTACTTGGAAGCATAGGTATAGGGATGTTAGGCCCTGCTTCATGTTCAGTTCTGTTCACAGGGATAGTCACAGAGCTTTATTTGCTTGGTGTCAATCAGGGAATTAACTGCTTGTTTTGTCCATATAGGGAATTGACATGTGAAAGAGGTAGTGTTGCTAAGAAGGGCATTTAAAAACTGAAAGAAAAAGAATCAGGATATTATATAGGGGTTCAATTAAAATTCTTGCTGTTTTCTTCATATTTTTATTTAGGAAGTCATTGTTTGTGGTGCATTTATTAGTTTACTCTTATAAGAGATAAAGTTCCAGGTAAATAGATGATATTGTGAAAAAAAGATGATATAGGGTTCTTGAGAAGGCATAGGGGCTGAAACTTACCGCTAACATATCACTTTTGGTGTATTTGATGGCCATACATGAATGTCAATGTGATAGATTTCCTTTAAGGATCATTAGTATCTTTGCAATTGAAACTAGACTTTTTTGAATTGAGAATTTAGTTAAATTAAAATCAGCAGTTTGACCTATGTGAATGGTGACATCAAGTGGATGTTTGAAAAAAAATATGTATTTGTGCTTGGCAAGCGAGCTTATACAGGAAAGAGATCTAAGAAGTACTGAGTAAAGGGATTGAATTTGTTTAGGTGTGGCTCTGTGGGTGTTTGGTGTTGCTTTTGCCTTTTACATAAATTTTTTTTCTTAGACTTTAGAATTTCAAATCACTCTGTTATTTAATGCAAAGCACCACAAATCTTTAAAAATACACAAATAACATCATTTTAAGTGACCTTAACTCTCATAATAAATTTTCTTATACTTTCGATTAATTTTTGTTTTTGGCTGGAAATTTCTGCTTCAAGCCAAACCAAAATTTCTTGTTCGTCCTTTTGTAAAAGGTGCTAGATGTCATTTCATAATATTTCAGTTGTTGGTCAATTGGGGAGGTAATTGTTTAGCTCTATAAGCTGTCAGCGATAAACTTTTTTTCTTGGGTTTTATTTAAGAGTGGGAGAGTCAACATTTGCGTATTTAACCTGAGTGGCTGTTAGAGTGCTTTTACCTGGGATTGTATGGTTGCATTAAATGAGTTGATTTTTGTTCTTCTATATGAGGGCCAAGAATTGTTAAATCATTGTAATGTCTAATCAAAGTTGCTATTTCTACTTGTAGTGTAGTGATTAGGCATGGACTTGCATTGCAACTTTTAACTGAAATATCTGCCATCTGGATATCCCATTTGAATTCATTCTCCTATTAAAAGAGCACGTCACCTGGTGTCATCACATCTGAATGATGCATCTTCTTGAAATGTCCTCGCCGACCTTCAGAAAGCCCCTTTCCTTTTCCTTTGTTTCCTTTGCCAGGATATTATTGTCTTTTCACCTTTTTTCTTCATAGTAGAAATCATAATGAAGTGGACCTGTTACTGGTTTGCCTTGTTATAGTTTGCCTCTTAATTTTATCATTTTGCATTCTCAAGCTACTGTAAAAGACGGAAAAAAAGTGGATAGGACAAGTGAGTAAAATGTTACTTGGGGTTTCCTGTTAATAAGTTTGTCTTCTCCCCGACGAGGAGGCTTGATTATCCACCTCTCTCTCTTTTCCCCTAGTCAATAAAAAGTAATGAGGAGACTTGAAGTAAGATGGACTTTACACCATGTAGTATTCTTAACCTAAAAAGCTTTTAAATTTCATATTAGTAGTTTCAATGTTATCTGTGTTGCTGTGCTGACATACCTTGCTTGCTCCCCTGGGGTTCCGATGGGTTTGAGGGAGCACACATGGATGCTGGATGGTTTAAGCTGATGTGGAAATAAATGTCCTCCTTTCTTAATCTGTGCAGGATTTCATCATGCTTCTAATAACTTAATTGCTCTTGCAGGTTGTTGTTTTGTGTAATATTCTCCCAAGTCATTTTATCTTAACAATTATGAAGTGTTTGGATGGGGAACCGGCTGAAATGTTTAGCTATTCTATAGTGATAGAGTAGAGGGGTTGCTGACTAAGGATAGAGATAAGATAGCCAAAATGCGCTATTATTCTCAATTATCTCCACCACTGTTGCTGCTGCATGTCGCCATCGATGGTGGTTGTCAACGTGAGGTCACTTGTGGTGGTGTGGTCGATTGCCAAAGGTGGGTTGGCACTTGCCAGCGAGGGGTGGCAGCAATGGTAGCTTGCCAGTGGGCAGTGGAAGGTAGTCGCTGGTCACTGATGGAGGTGGGGTGGTGGTTGCAGGTGGGAGTCCCACCACCAGGTTTGGAGAGGGAGGGGTTTTCGTGAATATCATAGTTTATCTAGTATAACAGGTGCATAATTGCTCTCAAGTGGCCCCATTAGGCAATAGCTGTTACAATTTTGAATATGGTGCAATATCTGCTGCATAGTAGCTATTCTTGCAAATAAACTACTTAATTTGAGATCGACATGTACTATATTAAACGTTAAGGTGAACAAATGTGGAGTTAATGTCCTGTATTCATGCATTGTGCTTTCAAGGCTGTGCTAGCATTTGTCTGACTTGCATTCATTGTGCTTTCAATGACAATTGCCTCTTTTCTGACTTCAATTTCCTTGGACAGGTGTGTCGGGTGCAGGGTCTAGTGGATCAATTGGACAGTTTGAAGGCAAGAAATGTCAATCCATTTAGCGACAGAAGTAATGCGGTTTCCATAACAACGAATTGGCAGACATTCAAGTCAGGAGTAGGAAGCTTGAATGCCCCTCCTCCCGTGTCATCTTCAACAGAAGTTACTTGTGATTGGGAGCAGTTCGATTAAGATATCCTTGTTGGTTAATGCAACGAAGGGGAGCCGAAGTTATACTGCGTGTACAACCATCTGAATTAGTTTTAGACTTTTAGTTTAATTACGTTTCTTTTTTGGGGTGTTTTGAGTTGCTCCTTTTGTGGTGGTGTCTTTATACTTAAAAAAGCAAACTCTCTCTGCTGGATCAATGATTGGGATCTGCACAATATGTTTGTAAATTTATGATATTTGTACTTATTTAGCGTAGTTAATAGATTATTCGTTTTTCACTATTTGTGTTACATTCCTTGCACACTGACTTAAGTATATTGCTTGCTGCTAGCGTGATCTTATTCTATCTAGGGTTTTTGCTGCATCACTGTTTGGTGGAGGCATGGGTTGATTATCTTGGAGCTGCATTAGATTAAGCCTGATTATATAACCTTCCTCTGACATTGTCCAGGAGCTTCAACACCCTATCGACTGAGTCAATGCTTGGACTTACCTAGTACTCCGACCTTTACGGGCTTGCAGGTGGAAGAGCACACCCCAGCTAAGTTCGTACAAGATGCCCATCACGTCACAGGTGAATTTCATGAACTGCAAAAGGAAAATGTTTATTCTTAACGGTATTAACAACAATGGCCATGGGCTGGAAGGTTGAGATGTTGCTCTGGTTTATTCTTACGAGCGTGCCAGGGGAAAGCTAATGGTGTATTGACAGGTCAATGAGAGCGGCCAAGTCCTATTTTTGCTCCGGAAGGGGACAAACAAGCTCCTGACGACAGCGTGACCCATACCAAGTTTCGTTGTCCTCCCCGAGTCACAGCTTCAGGTCGTTGCGTCTAATGTTTCAATGAACCACGGGAATTTACAGCTGTTATAGGTGCATATTTTCCCATTGAGACCTTAATTTACGGGTTGATGCACGGGTAACTGCATCAGCAGCATCAAGAGAACATTGGTTCTAGACGAAAGAATAGGCCGGATACTTTTGAATTGCTGTGTGCTGGATTCTCATCTCAGACCCATTTAAACGTACGGTTCGTTCATGGAGGCTTGATCTTTGCCATCTCTGGAAGAGGATAGACTGCTTTCCATTGCCGGTATTTCTTAAGCTTTACTGATGGGTCATGCCATGCACTTAGGCTAGTGCGACAACTTACTGAACTGCGATGAAGCACTGCTTCGGATCTTCTTTGACTGCAAGCCATAGCTAAACCTGGTTTCCCGTGCTTCAAACATGCATGTATCACTTTGGAGCATGACTGATATGCTCTAATGTATAATTTGGAGAGAAAATTCAAATCTAAAGTTTAGTGTGCATGTCAGTGTGAGATGGCAGTAATCTGTCGTTGGAAGTTCCATATTTAATTGATGGTGTTCGGACCATATCATATGAACTCAGACGCAAAGGTGGACCGTAATCGAGTGAATTGCTTAACTTTGTCGATTTGGAGGCTCGATCTAGATTCTAGAGTTTGACAACGCCGTTGTATTCGAATAGTTCCACGGGCACCGGGGACAAGGATTTTGGGTGCGTTGGGAGAGAATTTCCAAAGTCTTTTGGGCCTCCAAAGGCCCATGTGCCAAAATTGAGGCATTTGGTAACATAATTTCGAATACCCTTGAGCAAAAGCGAGCATTTCCAATGAATTCTAATCTAATGAAACTCCCTTTTAATATTAGCTTTTAGCATTTTCAAAAATGCTACTTCAGGGGTGTGAATTTTTTTCCTTAATTTTGCTCTTATTAATATTTTCGTATTCTTGCCTTGCCCTCCAATGTTCATAGTCTCTCTTTCACTAACATGGTAGCTCCGTACGTGTCTAGGTCGTTGGCCTCTGGTCGACGGTCATCCAGGGTTGGCGGTCAACGGTTTCGGCTGTCTCAAGTGAGATCTGGAGGGTTGTTGGTCTGTCTCAAGTCAAGGGTCGTTGAGGGTTGCGCGAGCTAGCTAAGGGTTGCCCAACGAGGTTCACCGAGGGTCGCCGAGGGTCACTCGGTCGATGCTCACGTGAGGCTCTTTGATGCTCGCCTCTAGCTTCTAGCTTGCATGAGGCTCGCCAGATCCACATGAGTTTTGGCCTTTCTCTCTATTTTTTTTTACTTTAAATTTGCTTAACAAAAGATGCATCAAAAGCCAATTATTCAACCGCTGTTTGTTTTAGACAGATACATCTTGAGTCGAAGAACTTTGGGAAAATGCAGCTCTCCCAAGAGTCCTTGTGGAAAAGTTACATGGTTTTCAAGCCTTTTCATGGTTGATTGCATCTTATCTAGGGGTGGGTGGCTCCAGGTTCCACTTGAAACCTGAAACCTACCCATGGGAACGTGTTCATCATTTTTTGAAATCTGGAACTTATCCTATATATCTTGGAACCTAGAACTTATTCTGTCACATGTTCCAGGGTCGGTTTCAGAGTCTATCTAGGTTTCACGTGTATTATTAATTGAATAATTGTAATGAATCATCACTTTTAATGACCACCACTTGCTGCTATGATCCACTGATCATAACTTATATTTAGACACACAAAGAATATGAAACATTAACAATTCATAAAATGAAAGCTCAAACTAGTAGTTTCATATTATACACTCATCATCTAACACCATGGAATACCGCAAGATCACACGAAGACATAAACCAAGAAAAAACATAAAAAACTTGTTTAGGGTTTCAGGTTCCACCTACTTAGAACCTGGAATTTATCCATCGAAACAGGTTCCTCAATTTTTGAAACCTGGAACCTACCCTACATACCTTGAAACCTGGAACCTATAGGTTTCCACTAGTCAAGTTTCAGGTTCTACCCTGAAACCATGCTCACCCCTAATCTTATCTAGACTTACATATTTCTCGAAGTTAGAAGAAACAAATTAAGAATTGCTCGATCATCTTTCACTTGAATGAATGTAACATTACTAGCTAGACTTTCTACTTTTCAAATCAAGTAGTTCCAAATAAAATAAAAAAAATAGTCAATCTTACATTACCAAAAAGAGTTACATGTTCTCTTTTGGATGCAACTCAATGCAGAATGGTTAGTCTTGTAGGCATAAATCTTAACACCAGTTTGTCTAACAATATTACCATAGTCGAGTTCAATGAAATACATATATTATTATAATTCAGGGGCACGAGCACGAAGGTCCGATTATTTGGAGGCCCAAGAAACATCCTGGGCCCGTTTGGTTCAACTTTTCAAATGCTATTTGGGGGAATGCAAATACCTTTAGGTTAAAGTCTCTTGGGGAAATGCAAGTGGCGTTTGGTAAAAAATCATTTGTAAAGCTATTTTGGCCTAAGTAGTGTTGGGTAATTTTTTTTTTGCAAAAGGGCTTTGGGAATTATCTTTTTTATTAAAAAATAAAACCTATCCTACCCTTTGCCGGAGCCGGTGAAGTCCTACCGCCGTCGGAGCCGGTGAAGGCCTACGGTTGCCGGTGAGCTAGATCTGGCGTCGGCGGTTGTCACCCGAGGTTGGGCGACCCCCGGCGAACTAGATCTGCCGCCGGCGGTTGTTGCCCGAGGCCAGGCGACCCTCGGCGAGGGTTGCGCAACCACCCAAGCGGCCATCGCCTGGGTCGCCTGGGCGGTCGTGCGACCTCAGGCGGTCGTCGCTTGGGTCATGCGACCTCGCCGGCCTGATCCAATGTCGGCCGCCCTCACCGGCCTCCCTCACCGGCCGCCCTCGCGAAGAAGATGAACAGTACCAAGAGTGGGCAAAATCGGAATAAGCCAAAATAAATGAGGGTAGTTTGGGGATAAAAAATTTGGGTTCAGCATTTTGGGAAGGGGCTTTCGAGGCCGAAAGCCCATTCCTAAAGCTGAACCAAACGGGCCCCTGTAAAATCCATAAATCGGTTAATGCATGCTTTGGGCCTATATAAGTGGCTCCGATTTAGAGCAGTTTGCATGCCGATAATGAGATTTGAACGAATGACCTTCATTTCGTAAATTGAAAATTTCCCAATCCCGTTGTCAATTCCGCCAATTGGGGTTGATAAAATATTCGTCAAGGAAGACTATTGTTGGGGGGAAAAGGGAATATATTCTTGTCACCTCATTTCACGCAATGCTGCATGCGTACAGAGAGAAGATATAAATAGGTATGTAAGGTTTGGCTTGACAATAATATGATTTTTTTATGTTTGGTTGGCAGTGACACTGATATCCTTTTTTGCTGTGTGAGAAAAGAAGACCACGTGACAACTTTGTCCCGACCTGCCAATAATCTCTGAAGGTTTTTTTAGGGTTGATGAAGAGTCCAGAGATGGCAAGAAGCCAAGAACCCAAGGACGCCTTCAATCATCAAATTGTCATTTGGCTTTTGGACTAAAGTCAACAAAACGAAACTTCATCTTAACAGAACAATAGACGAATGCGAGATATGCGTGGCTGTGATCGACTCGATCCATGATGATTGGGTCTATCCATAACTTGTTTCTTGTAATGATAGTTTTGTTTTGTGGATGTTGGTTTGTGAAAGACAAAAACCACTTAAAAACAGGGTAAAAACATACAAGCTAGAAAAGAAAATAGCATTTCAGCGAAAACCTCCAACCAGTGGATCCACTTCTAAGTCATTCCTATTATATCATTGGCATCATGCAAGTCGCTACAGGATGCATCAGGAGGTACACACGCACATACAGCTATATATATACATACATAGATACGTGCAAACACACACTGCATTCTTACATAGTTGTGTGCCAAACTGTCTGATTCTCAGTGGGTGAGTCGTACTTTAATATTACATCTCTCTTGACAAATTTATCTAGGTAATAGGGTTGGGGACAGAATATTGTTTTTCAAATCTAACTATAACTTGGCTGAAAAAAAAACTCAAAAAATAAATATCACGTGGAGTGGATGAAGCCTTAGTACCTATAAATCTTCCCATCTGTTTTTGCTGTAATTAATAATCCAGTCTCTAGCTAGTGTCCAACTTCTGAATCATGGACTTGCGGTTAATTACTATGATGGTTAACTGGCATCTAAAAGCTTACTTTCGACAGATCCACAGAACCTCTTTTTTGAGCTTGTCCTCGTGCTTCTCGTGTAGCCATGGTTATCTGGAAGCTGACCGATCTGATATTTTATGTCTGAAGAGTATCCAGATTTGTCTGTTTTTTTTTTTTTTTTTGCAATTTTTTTTGATGCCTCTGTACATATAAATGTAAATCATCCAAAGATACACGTTCCAGGACTATATTCTTATTCATTTGGTCTTCTACTCTAGCTAACTGTTCATTTCAAGTGTTCAACCAAGTGCATGAGTGTTTAATAGGGATAAGAGTGAACTTCACAGCTGAAATTTGATGCCTTTGAAGTATGTACTTTAGGTGTCTGGTTTGAACTGTTAATATTGGCTAAATTGCCTTCTGAATAATTTATGTGCATTGAACCAAGTGATTGTACTTGTTTAGAGAGCTAGTCAGGCATTTGCAGTGATCCTGCTAGATTATCCTCGCAAGACAACCCCGTGAGGAAGAAACGAAAGAAAAGAAAAGAAAGAAAAGAAAAGGATAAAACAGCTGGTTTATGTAGAGGAAATCAAGAGTAAAACTATATCACCTCAAATATATAGTCGCTAAAAGTACAAATTTATAGAGACAAACATGAGTTACTTCATCATTACTCCGGATAAGTACCTCGAGATCTCACTTAGAATGGTCTCATTCATAGAGTCAGATCAAGAGTACTTGCCCTTCCAATACCACGTTCT